TTATTGAAAGAAAACTGCAAAATGGTGGCGCCTGTCCCAAGTATTTATTTATTTTTGCTAACTTTTTATTTCGTACCGTCCTAATCACGTGAGTAATATTAAAGTTGACAATTGTTGGAAAACCGCGAAAAAGCGAGTCCACGAAAGTCAAACCGCGACGTAGCGAGGAACTACTGTATTTGACTTGGTAACATGTCTGGAAGCTTTAATTACAATAGTTATGAATCTTTTGTTGCCTATCCACCTTATTCCTAGCCCCCATGATGCCTTGCGTGAATTATGGACGCGACTTCTGACGCAGACCGGAACCAACGTTTGTTCACGTGCAAACAGTACGAGCTAATGTAGTTTCTCCGTGCACTGTGGATTTAATTTAAACACGTGGGAACACCACCTGTCAGAGCTCAAACAGTCAAGTCAAATTTATTTATATAGCACATTCAAAACAGGAACTTTTACTAAAGCGCTTAACGAAAAGACCTAACGAGATATAATTACATTTATAATTAAATCAGATCACCCTGTGTTAAATGTCTGTGAGTACAGGTGTGTTTTCAGGAGAGATTTAAAAGCAGAGACTGAAGTGGCCGGTCAGATTGATTGTTTTGGATGGGTGTGCTCTGTTTGCACGTGTTAAAAGCCTGGTTTTGAGATTCCAACAGGAGTTTGGCTTGAAACACAGTGAAGGCCTACTTATGGGACAGATCTGGTTGGCAGGCCACAGACTGACGAAGTCTTCTGGATGGGGGAAGAAATGTTTCTCACAAAGAAACTAGTCGAGATGACACAATTTAACATTTTTTGTTGTTATCTACCAGGATGATTGAGCTTACAACCCTTTTTTTTTTTTAAATTTCCGCACCGTTAGTGAAAATATTAGTTGTTCAAACCGAACTATTTGTGCTAGGCCACGAAGGCTATTAAATACAGCCCATAAGTGTGTTTAATTTCATTAATACAGATCAAATCAAGCGTTAAGCAAGGCGATTGTGCTTATCTACACATAGTATCATTGCTCTTTTTAATTAATACTTTTATGTGTTAATGCTAGAAAACATTGACTCTTGTTAAATTATCCTAGAACCAAATCCTTCAAACAACAGAATCCGATGGAAAAAGCTTGACAAAGATATCCTGACATCGTATTTATTACACATGTCCTCAGCTGATATTAGGCATGTCCTAAAATAATCTTAAAGTGGTAAAGAGAAAACAGGAAGTCAGTCAGACGTCTGCAGCCACCTGAGGCCATTTGCCATATTTGGAGAGGGTTTTGTTTATTTACTGCAAAGACCGTTGCACACAAACACCCCAAAACGCTTAGATTGAACCAGATGACCCTTATTGGCACTAGGCCTGTCACGATAACAAATTTTGCTGGGCGATTAATTGTCTCAGAGTTCATTGTGATAAACGATAATATTGTTTGAAATTTAACAATAATTAACTGTCAAATTTTAGAAGAAATTTTGATTTGTTTGGAGTGTAGTACCTTTTTTGACCACCTGATGTCAGTATCAGACTGTTTGAACCAAAAATAAAATGGGAGGGAGGGCCCTTGACATGACATGGGCTGTCGACGCTCAGTAATTTGAGCTCTTTAGCATAGCATTTTTCACACAGAGCTTTTAATAAAACATCAGTAAACAAGTTCTCAGCTATTTTTGCAAAGAAAAACAACTTTTTACACGAAGGCACGGGTTTCAACGGTGAATTTTGGACAAGACGGAGGTTTATTCTCGAGGTCGGGCTGTTAGCTTAGCTCGTAGCTTAGCTTCTCAGCTTAGCTGCTTTTAACGATAAAGCCGATAAATGAAAATGAGGTCAATAATTTTCATTCATCATGGGATTAATTGATTTATTTATGGCGACAGGCCTAATTGGCACACATAAATAATATACTGATACCGGTACATGAGAGGCCGAGCTCCCGTCCCCTTTAAGAGGAGGAGCCTAGAGGATATAGTGACAGACGCTTCTGGTGTTCAGGGCTTTGTCTCCGAGACACTCGCAATCACGTGTCCGATTGAGGCCACAGCGCTGAGCCTGTAGTATGAGAGTAAATTTGATTTTGCACATGTTTTCTGTTGGGATGTTCTACTGCAGGAAGAGCTCTTCAGCAACAGGTTAGACTCTTCTTACTCCTCCAGTAACGTAGTTGTTGCGGTCCCCTCCTGGTAATCTTTCTGCAGCTAATCTTCCTGTTTCAGCTCCTCTCATCTAGTTTCCTTATAGTTCATCCTCCTCGGGTGTTCAGTGTCATGTTTGCTGGGTTTGTGTCCAGATTAACTTCTTCTTGAAGTCGGTGGTTGAATCAGTTTGAAACTCCATATTTTTGTCTTTTCCGGATCCTAGCATGTGACGGAGACTCAGAGCGAAAAGGGTGAAGAAGAAGACGAAGCTGATGCTCACGATGATGATGATGCAAAAGACGAGGAAGAGGAGGAGAACAATACGTCGGCCTCCTCCACAGAGAGTCCGGTAAATATGCATCTCTGCACGAATGTGGTTTTATTCCGAGCGAGCGTTTACTTCGCATTAACGTGTTTTGTGCTGTGATTCTATCTGAAGCAAGAAGACTCGCCCGATGGAGAGCAGACAGGTGACGACTTTAAGCTTTAACCTGTTTATGTTCGATTCCTTAAAAAAAAAGGTGAAAACTGAGCTAATGGAGAAGTTTCATGTCTGATTTTAACAGCAGCAGAGACCGTCGAGCAGAACGACACAGCAGAGGAAGAAAAGACTGAAAGTGACACCAAAACAGCCAACGGGGAGGCAGACAGAAATTCTAACAGCCAATCAGGCTCCAGAAAGAAGGTAGAACTTTTAACGGTGTTCGGAGTTTTGTTTACACTTTTTCTTCTTTCATTGGGTCTGAAACCAATCTGTACAAACATTAAACCAAAGAAAGTCACCCACACAACGTTATGACTAATAACATTTAGACAAAATGAACTTTTTTTTTTAGGCTGAGCAGGATTCTTAGTTTTACAGCAGAAAATAAACATAAAGCTCTGCTCCGTCCTCAGCTGTTCCTCTTCACGCGATCGTCCAGGTCCAAGCAGACGGACAACTCTCTCCTGAAAGAACACTCGTCTCCCGCTGCTGGGACTGTGAAGCCGTTTGGAGCCAGTGGGCCCCGCTCTGGAGCCTGCAGCCTGCTATAGGAACCACATGGTCCCACTCTGGAGCCTGCAGTCTGCTATAGGAACCACATGGTCCCGCTCTGGAGCCTGCAGCATGCTATAGGAACTACAGGGTACCGCTCTGGAGCCTGCAGGCTACTATAGGAACCACAGGGTCCTGCTCTGGAGCCTGCAGCATGCTATAGGAACTACAGGGTACCGCTCTGGAGCCTGCAGTCTGCTATAGGAACCACAGGGTCCCGCTCTGGAGTCTGCTGCATACTATAGGAACCACATGGTCCCGCTCTGGAGCCTGCAGCATGCTATAGGAACTACAGGGTACCGCTCTGGAGCCTGCAGTCTGCTATAGGAACCACAGGGTCCCGCTCTGGAGTCTGCAGCCTGCTATAGGAACCACAGGGTCCCGCTCTGGAGTCTGCTGCATACTATAGGAACCACATGGTCCCACTCTGGAGCCTGCAGCCTGCTATAGGAACCACAGGGTCCTGCTCTGGAGCCTGCAGCCTACTATAGGAACCACAGGGTCCTGCACTGGAGCCTGCAGCCTGCTATAGGAACCACAGGGTCCTGCTCTGTAGCCTGCAGCCTACTATAGGAACTACAGGGTACCACTCTGGAGCCTGCAGCCTACTATAGGAACCACAGGGTCCCGCACTGGAGCCTGCAGTCTGCTATAGGAACCACAGGGTCCCACTCTGGAGCCTGCAGCCTGCTATAGGAACTACAGGGTACCACTCTGAAGCCTGCAGCCTACTATAGGAACCACAGGACCCCACTCTGTAGCCTAAAGCCTGCTACAGGAGCCACAGGGCCCCATTCTGGAGCCTAAAGCCTGCTATAGGAGCCACAGGGTCCTGCTCTGGAGCCTAAAGCCTGCTATAGGAACCACTGGGCTTGGCTCTGGAGCCTGCTATAGGAAGCATGGGGCCCCACTCTGGAACTTGCAGCCTGCGGCTGCTATAGAAACCACGGGGCTCTGCTCTGGAGCCTGCAGCCTACTATAGGAACCACAGGGTCCTGCTCTGGGGCCTGCAGCCTGCTGTAGGAACAACATGACCCTTCTCTGGAGCCTGCATTCTGCTATAGGAACCATAGGGTCCTGTTCCAGTGAGAATGAGACTGTCCCACTTTTGGAGGACTTCCTGTTGACCTCACTCATGGTGACGTTGCCTCCTCACAGCACTCAGAGGTAATATCAGTAAACATTATTTATTAAACTGATATAAAAGTTTTACAGGGATGAAAACTGATAATAAATTTATTACATGGGCTCATGGTAGGGACTGAATTTTAATATTCAATGCTTTGAGTTTTAATTCATAACTTTTAAAATTAAAAACACAACAATATGGGACTATGGTATTTTTCCAAAACTACATATTAAATAACTAATAGGCACATATTAAATAAATGTTTTGAAATGAGAGAAATGTTTCAACGGAACCTTCAAAACTTTTGGATTCATACTTTTATGAAATTCATTCAATTTTCTTCCATTTTTGGCTAGAATTTGACGAATGAATCACTTCAAACTATTTATGAAAAGAAACTCCTTGTAAAAGGCTTCTCTTCCCTGACCTTTGACCTGTGTGTGGACCACCACCAGCGCAGCTGAGCCTGATTGTTATAAAGTGTGATGATGGATTTCTGATTATTTATTTTGTCTCAGTCCTGAAGCACATTTTGCACAAATTTTTATGTTTTGACTTGTTGATCTTATCTAAACTGTCATATATTTTTTAATGATTTCTTGTTTTTTAATGATTTGTATTGTTTTATTAATAAAGTCTTGATACAAAATGGGATTCGTTATTTTTGCATCTCTAAGGATCTGTTCAGAGAGGAGCTGTTAAAGAATCTGGGTGGTAAGAAAAAGCTTCCAGATGACTGGGATACTACAGCAACAGTAATTAAAGCTGCAAGCAGCGTTGAAGGCCCTCGCAGCGAAGCGCCGCTGCGGCCTTATGGCGACCGCGGGAACTGCAGCGACCCTTCCCGGTCGCCATCGAGAACGCTCACGCTACCGTCACGCGCCCGTTCTCCGGAGTGCGCATTCGCCGAACCTTTGACATAAGCTGCGACCGCATATATACCTATTGTAATAATGTAGGGGGCGCACTTGAGTCAAATATTAAACAACAACACCACTGCGTCCATAAGTCCTCACTAGTCAAGCACCAAAAATCTGGT